AAAGCCAACCAGATCACAATAACCAACAGAGAAACAAGAGACATCATCCACCAGAAATTATGACAAAAATTATTTCTTGATCATATAACAAACACAAACTTCAATACCTGTCCTTTTAGATACATCACACAACTTATCAAATATTACAAAGGTTTTACAAAAGACACAGAGCTAAATAAACATGAGGAAATCCAAAAAGCAGTCCAGGAGGCCCTCTCAGTTAAACTCCAACAACTACCTAGTCACCCAGACAACATTTCTAAAAACATACAACAAATGTTACCCTTTACCTTATCTATAAAAAACAAAACTACACTAAAGCTGTAGTCACAGCACTTTATCGTATTTATCAATTTAATTAGCTACCTAAAAAATACTTTATAAACTTGGATTCTTTTTCAACAAATTTAGCCAATCTTCATCTCACAGTAAGAGATCTATTTTCAATTACCAATAAAAAATGGCTTAGAGACCTAGGTGACTATAAAAGAAAACTTAGCCAATACTATAAAGTCAAAACAATCCCACCTAACTACTTTGACTTGCCACCATCAAAAACTCACCTGTCTTTGTTATATCAAGATCTCAGCCCTAAACATAAAAGCTACTTTCCACTTAACCTGAACAACTGTCATAGTAATTCTTAAAGAATCATCAAAGCACTATGAGAAGAATACACCTTCAAATACTTACCTAATAACTACTACCAAGCAAAACTTCTTCTCCCTAAAGATCCAAACAAGATCAAAACTATGAAAATATATATATTCTTAATTGAAGACAAGCAAGATGCTATAGAGTTCATTCTGGATATTGGCTAGAATTACAAAGCCAACTTGTCACTATCCTCAGAAATAATAATAGTTAATCTTACTGAAAAGCCTAACCTTTCTGAGGATCCCAATCAAATTACAGACTACAGTATTTTAATACCTATTACTTCAACAAAAACCCTAATTAAGGTAGCTAAACTACTAAGAGAGTCCTACTACTTCCACCATATTTCTGACTTCTGGATAAAAATTTAAACCAATACTACAGAAGAAACCAATTTGACAGACATTCCACTGACAAAATCAACAATACCAAATAAGTTAGATGAAATTCTTAATTACTTAAAAAATAATATTATTAATATAACACAACTAACTCTTCTCATCACAGACCAAAAGGCTGCTTCTGAAACTCTCAAAATATTACATCAAAATTTCATAGTCAAAACTATACCCAACTCCATTCTAGCACTCCTGCCCCTTCCAAAACTTATCTAAAGAATCTTTTCTTAATAATATGACTTCATCTAGTAATACTT